CCACATTCCCCAATTCCCACATTCCCCAATTCCACATTCTCCAATTCCACATTCTCCCATTACCACATTCCCCAATTCCCACATTTCCCAATTCCCACATTCCCCAATTCCACATGCCCCAATTCCCGCATTCCCCAATTCCATCATTCCCCAATTCCATCATTCCCCAATTCCACATTCCCCAATTCCACATTCACCAATTCTACACCCCCAAATCACTATACTTCCAAATCCATTCACACCCAAATCCTAAGCTCCCAAATCCCTACACCCCCAAATTTCTTTATTCCCAAATTTCCACACACCCAAAATGCTACATTCTGAAATTTCTATACCCCCAAATTCCTACACCTTCAATTAATATATTCTCAAACTTCTACACCCTCAATCCACTCCATTTCCAAACTTCCATACTCCCAAATCACCCTCTATACCAAATCTCAATATTTCAAAATTCACATCTCCAAAACTCCACATTCATGTACCCACTTGATCCCCATCCCCTAGTCACATATTAAGAATTCCACACACGAAAAACATATCTAAAATCCGTATTCGATAATACAATGAAATATCCCTTAACATACATTTTTATTCATGACTGATGATGCAGCAACACTCAGAGGTTCAACCTTTGTTCTCGTCTTTTCATAAAGAATCTAGTCTCCTTTCTATAGAAACCTTCTCTCGTTCAGAGTTTGAATAAAAATGGTAGACGGTTCCAGTAACCGACTTTACGATGTTTTTCGGGTCAAAGGTTCATTCGAGGTGAAATGCGACACGGAACGCCGCCACTTGTTGCTGGAACGTGAAATTGCGATATTTCATAGGAGACTACATATTCTAGCTGATAAATGAAAATAGCAGGATAGGTGTGCTACCGAAATATCTTCCGATTTTTGACTGAATTATTGCGCTGTTATTGCGAACGAACCGATGTTATAATAATACTGTTACAATATTTGGACGTTTCGTTGTTCTGCTGAATAATTTACTGAATGTTTATCGGAATAATAATTGATCAGGGTAAATATTTGAAAATTTTCACTATGGCAGAAATACTGAAAAGACAAAAATTAATAGATATTTGGAGAAGTTACAATTTTATTTTTAGTCGCGTGGGCTGATTGTATTAAACAATATTACATTTCAGAATTAAATTTATTTTCGTTGCGAATTGCAAAATTAATGAAGCGTAATTAAACGTGTTTTATTTGAACGAAATTGTACAATGTGATATTGTTACATTATTGAATATTACATATTATTGCAATTGAAATAATATAAATTCATGAAGAATAACTAAATACCATTGCAATATTAATAACGTAATAATTGAAACTTTTTACCAAACAAAATGTCTACTTGAATGTTCTATTAATTTTCTGGATTCAAAATGGCCGACTCTCGGCGCGTTCATTAATCAGCCACGGTAGAAAGAAAGACATTGTAAATTATTTTGCACGAATGCAAAACTTCTGAGTGTCGCAATCAATTTCTTATGACATAATCATTATTTGCAGCTCTCCATGCAGCCGGATGTACCTACTTGTGTGGTGCTTTTGTCTCTGCTGAATTATTTCCAACTGACCAATTATTTCTGGATGTTTGTGGAAGGTAATTGATACTACTGCAAAAATTTCAATCAAATCGATCTTTATATTTGATTAATTATATTTAGAAACAAACAGTAGTTTCAAGTTGGTGATATATTTCAGTGAGGTGGTATTTGGTCACTGTTACTCTTGTTTGATAAAGATGGACCAATTGCGACTCAAATCTTTCACTACTGTAACTTTTGAATTATTTATTTTTTAACTTTTTAATGTCTTCATTTATTTTGAAAATAATATTGGAAGGAATCGTGTGAGGTTTAGGAAATATTTTATTAAATTTAAACTGTGAATGACAGGTTAGATCAGTGACCCAATTTCGTCTGATTAAAAATTGTAGACAAAATCTCTTAAACATATTCAGTCTACTATTACTGTTATGAAACAATAATATGATACTGTTACAATTACTAGTAATGACATACTATTACAATAATTATTTCATATAAGATACCATTAAAAAGTTGTTAATAAAGTAGTGAAAGATTTGAGTCGCAATTGGTCCACCTCTACCAAACAAGAGTAACAAATTATACTATCTTGTCTAAAAATATGCTATTACTATCTTATCTTGAATACAGTTTCTATTGTACCACGTAGTCTAAAAAGATCATTTTCTTCTCAAAGAAAAAATTCCTTTTACATGTTCTAAATTAAATCGTATCTTTTTTCCAGGATTATATCTGTTTCTCCTGGTAGTGAAGACTTTCACTGGTGACAATATCAAGCTCCGACTATGCCTCATCATAGGCTGGGGTAAAACTAAAAAATTCTATTATTAATTTCATAAAATCGTACATGATAAGTACTTCTAATTCAATGACACAGAATGCATTAAATAATTTGGAGATTTTTATTCGTATTAACCATTTGCACTCAAGAGATGACTCTCAGTTGCCATTTTATTTAATAAACAAATTTTAAATGAACATTTGACTGATTTTATAATATGACACATGTGGTGTGTCATGTGATGTGTCATAGTGAAACAAACAATAACAGAAATTATTAGTAAATAAATAATAGCCTCAAAAGAATTCATTTAACTTTTTAACCAGTAAGTTTTAAAGTTGTTGTTTGCAAACAGTCAAAATGACTGCAAAGGGTTGATATATTCTTGTTCTTATAAACACAGCTCCAGCATGAAATTTTCAATTCGTTAAATCGTAATTAGCGTAGATAATACGTAAAATTCTAAATTCACCAGAACCAGGTGAATGAGCCTAATTCGCATGTAATGAACCCAGAATTATATGACTTTAATCTCGTTACTTAATTAAATGGAATGTACCACGCGATCCATTCGTTTGGTTAATTAGTACAAATTCCGACTACACTTTGTTGTAACGAGGGTTTCATTCTGAAACTCCGACAACCGAACTACAAATAGTTCTCTTTTATCTGTCTTATAACATTATTGTCAAGCGTTACACGTTCAACACACCCTGTGTATTGTATCGATTTCCAGGGATGCCGGTGCTGTTTATCGCCATGTGGGGAATCGCAAAATCGCTCGATCAAAATATTATGAACCAGCCCAACCAGGTAAATATCGGGTCACAGTCATTTTCAATTTAATCTAATTATTTTGCAAATTCAAAAATTTTTATTACCTTTTAAATTTATTAAAATTCAAATTTTTCATTATTTTTAAATCCAGTAAAATCAAATTGCAATTTCGCATTTTTATTGCAATTAAATTTTGCGTTCGATTTTGATTATAATCTGTATATTCAAATTCGCTGAAAATGTGTTTAATATTTTAGTTATCTTATCGTTGTGGCAATAATTAGCTAGCTGTGATGCAGCTGGTTAAAAAATAGGTTAGGAGGATAATCCGCATTTTTGCTTTCTCTTTTGACAAGAAAATTTTTTGATGTCAAGAAAGGAACAGGGAAAGTTAGGGTAAAATATGACAGCTGATATGAACACTGTTATATTAGATTTCTGTTTGAGGACAAAAGAAGTAAACGTTATCTGTAAGTGGTAGGCTGGAGACTTTTAACATTGGAACTACCAAAACAGTCATTTGAAACGTTCACAAATTTTCTTTTTTTATTAAGATATTTTCTTGCAATGTATACTGAATGTCCCATAAAGAAATTCTTCAAATATGTTTCAAGATCAAAAATATTAACCTCAAATTAATTTTAAAGTTAGGTTAAGTTAACCTCACCTCATATTAATTTTAAGGTAAGGTTAAGTTAAGCTCATCTTAAATTAATTTTAGGTTAGGTTAATTTAAGGTTAAGTTAAGAAGTTAGGTTAAGTGAAGCTCATCTTAAATTAATTTTAGGTTAGTTTAATTTAAGGTTAAGTTAAGAAGTTAGGTTAAATTAACCTCAAATTTGGGTTAAAAAATTAGGTTAGATTATATAGCTCCAAGACCCCTACATAAATAAATCATTGCTGTAAATAAACCATTCACAAGAAAATCCCAAACAAGAAAAGTAAAACATTATCCACGATTTTTGAACGAGATTTTCCCTGAAAAATACGAAGTAAGGAGATAATCCCGTTACAACTCGAGCCGTATACGAATCTCGACGGCGCTCGAGTCCCCGTGGCAAGTTGGCTCGAAATAGATAGGATCAAATGAACGGAGCACACGGCGTCGATCCTGCCAATTTTTAGGTTCAGTTAAGCTCATCTTAAATTAATTTTAGGTTAGGTTAATTTAAGGTTAAGTTAAGAAGTTAGGTTAAATTAACCTCAAATTTGGGTTAAAAAATTAGGTTAGATTATATAGCTCCAAGACCCCTACATAAATAAATCATTGCTGTAAATAAACCATTCACAAGAAAATCCCAAACAAGAAAAGTAAAACATTATCCACGATTTTTGAACGAGATTTTCCCTGAAAAATACGAAGTAAGGAGATAATCCCGTTACAACTCGAGCCGTATACGAATCTCGACGGCGCTCGAGTCCCCGTGGCAAGTTGGCTCGAAATAGATAGGATCAAATGAACGGAGCACACGGCGTCGATCCTGCCAATTTTCTCGTATACCATGCACGTGTGTAAAGAAATATCCGAAGAATTTCGAGACACGATCCGTGATAACGCACCGTTCCTGAACTACGTGACACGAAGACAAAACGGAACAGTCGATACGTCGGAGAAAGTTTCCCCGGAATACGTCAGTCATCGTGACATTTCCCTTTATCGACAGATTTTTCATCGTGTCACGAGTTATTTTCTCGTGGCCGCGGTTTAATTTCGCGCTGAAACTTCGCGATACGAGATTTCAAAAGGTACTCGTGCGTTTTTCGCTGACGGAATTATAAATGTTTATATATAGACTTTGACAGGTTGAAAAACCGATGGTCAAGTGGGATTTGAAACGGGAATTGATTTTTTGAGGATATTCGGAGTGGAGTTCGATAATTTCGTGAGATTGGGGCTGAGGGGCGGAGTTTATGGGGAATTATGGAGTTGGTTAATGATTTATTTTTGTTAGAGTGTTTGGAAATGTAGGAATTTGAGACTTCTCCAATTCCATATTTCACACTTCTATATTTTCCAGTTCCACATTCCCCAATTCCATATTACGCAATTCTAGTTTCTCCAATTCCATATTCCCAAATTCCACATTCCCCAATTCCCACATTCCCCAATTCCCACACTTCCCAATTCCACACTCCCCAATTCCCACATTCTCCAATTCCACATTCATCGATTCCCAAATTCCCCAATTCCCACATACCCCAATTCCCACATACCCCAATTCCCACATACCCCCATTCCGACATTCCCCGATTCCCACATTCCCTAATTCCACATTCCCCAATCCCACATACCCCCATTCCCACATTCCCCAATTCCACATTCACCGATTCCCACATTCACCGATTCCCAAATTCCCCAATTCCCACATACCCCAATTCCCACATACCCCAATTCCCACATACCCCCATTCCGACATTCCCCGATTCCTACATTCCCTAATTCCACATTCCCCATTCCCACATTCCCCCTTCCCCAATTCCACATTCCCCAATTCCCACATTCCCCAATTCCACATTCCCCAATTCCCACATTCCCCAATTCCACATTCCCCAATTCCCACATTCCCCAATTCCACATTCCCCAATTCCCACATTCCCCAATTCCACATTCCCCAATTCCCACATTCCCCAATTCCACATTCACCGATTCCCAAATTCCCCAATTCCCACACACCCCCATTCCGACATTCCCCGATTCCCACATTCCCTAATTCCACATTCCCCAATCCCACATACCCCCATTCCCACATTCCCCAATTCCACATTCCCCAATTTTACACTCCCCAATTCCCAAATCATAAATTACTCAAATAAATGCATTGATCACTGATATTTCAACCCCAAAAGTACCTAAAACCCCAAGAGTCCATCAAAACTCTTTCCAAACAAATTTAAAATTAATACCATTTTTCTAAATAAATAAAAGTACCCCATACAGAAAAATTCCAAAACAATTTTTATAAGAAAACACCTAATAAAGGGAACTGAATTTTACAGGAAGTCTATCTTGGAAAACATTGTCCATGGATGATATCGCACCCTTACGACTGGTTTTATCAAGCGCCGGCCATTTTGGTGCTGTGCGTGAACGTGGTATTCCTGTTCATGATAATGTGGGTGAGTACACACTGCGATTTCATTATCGACTCGGGCAAAACGAGGTTTCGAAGTAAATAATAATAATAGACGGTAGGTCTAGGGTAATGCAATGAGCCGTCTATGTACTTCATTGATTCAACGCTGCCGCGTGGAGGAGGAAATTAAACCGAGCATCCTTGCTTGAAAAATTAATTAACCCAGAAAATTTACATCGCTTTGAAATAACTTGATGTACTGTTTCTGTGTAGTACATAATTACTTTCTGATTACGGTATGTTGACACTAAATTTATCAATGCGATCGAAACGTTGAACAAGTTTCTTATTTGGCTTTGGGATGTTTTAAAGTTTTCAAGATTTAAGATTTTTATATGCTCGTTTTTATGATTGAAGTGAGGAATTGTTGTGGAGAGTGTGTTGAGGACACTGATGTGCTGTTGGTGATTTGGGAGTGTACGAATTTGGGGATGTAGGGAATTGGGAATATATAGAAATTTGGAAGCTCAGAGATGTGGGGATAAATAGATTTGGAGGTGAATGGAATTGGAAGTGTAGGGATGTGAAGGTGTAGAATTGGGGAATGTGGAAATTATAGAATATGGGAATTGGGGAATGTGGAAATTGGAGAATATGGGAATTGGGGAATGTTGGAATTGGGGAATGTGGGGATTGGGGAATGAGGGAATTGGGGAATGTGGAATTGGGGAGTGTGGAATTGGGAAATGTGGGAATTGCAAAATGTGGAATTGGGGCATGTGGAAATTGGGGAGTGTGGAATTGGGAAATGTGGAATTGAGGCATGTGGAAATTGGGGAGTGTGGAATTGGAAAATGTGGGGATTGGGGAATGTGGAATTGGGGAGTGTGGTATTGGGAAATGTGGGAATGGAGAAATGTGGAATTGGGGAATGTGGGAATAGGGAAATGTGGAATTGGGGAATGTGGGAATAAAGAAATGTGGAATTGGGAAATGTGGAAATTAGGGAATGTGTAATTAGGGAATGTGGAAATTTAAGGGTGTACAAATATATAAATACAGTAATTCACTGTACAATAATTCTTCAACAAGAAAATTCAAGTATAGAAATATTCAGACTCCCAAAAATTGAAGAACGTGAAAAATTGCAAGCTCTAAAACTTACACAGATCTCCAAAAGTCCTCTGACACACATACTCCCAAAGATAACGCCTAACCTTTTCACATAAATCACAATTTCCATTATCATCATATCACATTCCATAATCCTAACCTTCTAAAAGTTACGACTACATCCATAATCTCGATCGTGATATTTAATACATCATACTCTCAATTTTAACCTTTACCTATCGCCAACAAGATAATGTTAATAAAATTAATTAAACTTGCTGTCTCGGTATTTAAAATTTGTCTTTCCTGTTGATCAAACGAATTGGCCTCATTTTTTCTTAGGAGATAACTGCATCTGTGTTAATCAACGTTAGTAATTTCCTCTTCGTCCTCTCCGGTGTTTCTTAACTTGCATTCAAGAAAAAGTGCTAAAGAAAGTCTAGCCCATGCTTCATTACTCCTTAAAGCGTGTTTCTTCGACTCTGCTTCGGACTCGGTAATCGATTTATAATAGTCACTTTTCTCCCGCTCACTTTTTTCAAACACCTTGAAATGTTTAACTTATCGAAGCAGAAGTTGTTCGTTTTCCTTTTAACGCCTCTGCGTTCGAACAATTAACCCATTATGACATTAATCACTGCCCTGGCATGAATTACGGGCAATTTAACGCGTGGGAAATTTGAATTGATTATCTCACTTAATCATCGTAATTAAGTAAGTTGGTCGATAGAGTTTGGTAGTGGAAAAATTTCAAGATGTAGGGATTTAAGGGATGAGGAAATGGTGAATGTGGAATGTGGATTATTTTAGCTAAGATCAGAGTTCTTATCGGCTTAACATCTGAGACACTCCCCATAAGGGAGTCAAAATATTAAATGACTTTTTGATAACAGTGGAACTCTGGAGCTTCCACCGAGTTCGACTTGTAGATTTGGGAATATGGAAATTGGGGAGTATAGAATTGGGAAATGTGATAATTGGGGAATATGGGAATTGGGGAATGTGGGAATTGGAGAGTGTGGAATTGGGGTATGTGGAATTGGGGAGTGTGGGAATCTGAAAATGTGGAATTGGGGAATGAGGAAATTGGAGAGTGTGGAATTGGGGAATGTGGAATTGGGGAATGTGGAATTAGGGAATGTGAGAATTGGAGATTGTGGGAATTGGGTGATGTGGAATAGGGGAATGTGGAGTTGGACAATGTGGGAATTGGAGAATGTGAAAATTGGAGAGTGTGGAATTGGGAAATGTGGGAATTGGGGAATGTGGAATTAGGGAATGTGGGAATTGGAGATTGTGGGAATTGGACAATGTGGGAATTGGAGAATGTGAAAATTGGAGAGTGTGGAATTAGGAAATGTAGGAATTGGGGAATGTGGGAATTGGAGATTGTGGGAATTGGGTGATGTGAAATAGGGGAATGTGGAATTGGACAATGTGTGAATTGGAAAATGTGAAAATTGGAGACTGTGGAATTGGGAAATGTGGGAATTGAGGAATGTGGAATTAGAGAATGTGGGAATTGGGGAGTGTAGAATTGGGGTATCAATAACCACCAATAACTACCAATTCACCCCCACAATAAAAAACCAAACTAAATTAAATTAAAAAAAATGTACATAAAATTTATGCATGACTCTTGTTTGTCACAGGTGCTAATAACGAAGCTATGGTCAGCAAACAACGCAGAAACTCAACAGTATCGAAAAGCTAGCAAAGCTTTGCTGGTGTTAATACCGCTGTTGGGTGTAACTTATGTGCTGGTACTAACCGGACCAACCGAGGGTCAGGTTGCTAATGCATTCTTCTACTCTCGTGCTGCATTACTTTCGTCGCAGGTAATGCAACAGTACCGAGGTATTCCCTTTCAAAGCAAACTTCCGTGTGCAAGAAGTTGAAAACAGGCCGTCGTCCTTTTACCTTGATCAAACATTGATACGCTTTGAAATTTTACTTCGCATTTGTCGACGTTGCTGTATAATCGCTCTTTAATATTCCGCACACGTAGCAAAAGTCCTTTTGCATAACTTTTCCGGGAAGAGATGACTTTTAATCCGATGAAAATTCTCTTGTGACACGACAAAAATATATTCCGTTCCATTAACTCTTCTTTGAATTATGGACGCTCTTGCCGTGCTCTCTCAAGTTTTAATATTAACTCGTTTTACGCTGGGCTTCAAGGCTCTTGTGTTCGTGGATTTTTGGGTTTTTGGGGCTTTGGATTTGTGGATTTGCGGATTTTTGGTTTTTGAGGTTTCAAAGTTGCCGGATTTCTGAATTACTAGATTTACAGATTTTCAGATTTCTAGATTTCCACGTTCCCCAATTCCACACTCCCCAATTTCCACACTCCCCAAGTCCCACATTCCTCAATTCCTCATTTCCCAATTTCCACATTCCCCAATTCCCACATTCTCCAATTCCACACTCCCCAATTTCCATATTCCTCAATTCCTCATTCCCCAATTCCCACATTCTCCAATTCCACGCTCCCCAATTTCCACGTTCACAGATTCCTACATTCCCCAATTCTCATATTCTCCAATTCCACACTCCCCAATTTCCATATTCCTCAATTCCTCATTTCCCAATTTCCACATTCCCCAATTCCCACATTCTCCAATTCCACGCTCCCCAATTTCCACGTTCACAGATTCCTACATTCCCCAATTCTCATATTCTCCAATTCCACACTCCCCAATTTCCACATTCACCGATTCCTACATTCCCCAATTCCACACTCCCCAATTCCCACGTTCCCCAACTCCCACATTCCTCAATTTCCATATTCCCCAATTCCACATTTCCCAATTCCATACTCCCCAATTTCCACATTCCCCAATTCTAGATCCCCAACATTCCACATTCTTCACATTCCACCTTTTTCACATTTCTCATACCTCGCATTCCACATTCCTCACATTCCGCATTTCTAACATTCTACATTCTTCGCATTCCTCACATTCCACATTCCCAACCTTCTACATTCTCCATTTCCAAAATACCCAATTCTCAAATTAGAAAATAACTTTCTAGTTTAACAACATTGAAACTTGAAACCCCAAAAATTTGAAATTCATAAATTCTCCATAACCGTAGATTTTGAAAACACTTGACTAACGCTTGACTAATTTTCAGGGCCTGTTCGTGGCGATGTTTTACTGTTTCCTGAACACCGAAGTTCAAAACACAGTGAAACACCACATCGAACGATGGACCACTGCCCGTGATCTGGATACCGAAAGAAGGTATTATAACAATTGCTCCCCCCGTTCGGGAACAGAAAGTATAAGGTACAATTATTTTCCCTTACTTTCTAATCAGAAATTCTTTACAGTAGTATGATAACAGTGAAACATGTACAAATTTTACTATTTAAATAAACTTTGTGATAAATGGTTAACTAATTATTCGTTTTAATGGTATTGTATGAGCAGACTATTATACTTGTAACTCGGTATAATTATAATTTATAAAGTACAGTAGCTTTATTTCGCAATTTTATATTTTAATTTGAAAATATGGGTGAAGTTATGGACTGTGTAGCTATCGATTATAAATAGGAGCAAAATTTGTCTTCAAATCAATTTTATCGTCAAATAAAATATTAAAATAAATTTATATATAGATTCGTACTTGGACAAATTTTTACCTAGACATAATTTATATTTAAACCAATTGACATTTATAGTCATACAAGTTTATATTTATACTTTTAGATCAATTTTATTATGCCACTTCAGATTTTAGATTTATTTTTACACAAATATCAATAAATATAATAGTTTCTCTCTATGGGGTAGCAAACATATTTTGTCATAAGAGTACACAAGATAATCTTCTAAAAATAAATAATTCACTTTAGCAATACTTATGTAAATTAATACGTTTTCTAAAAATTGTCCTTAATGTTTTCTTCTTTCAGTTATTCGTTTATATTAAATTCGTGATGTCACCGCCACTCAGCGCATTAACCACTGGACACGTAGACTTTCTGATTTACAGATTACATTGTCCCCCGTCGAATCCGTACAGAAAAAGGAACTCGTCTGTAAGCGAGACGACGACCACCACCGTGATAGGGTTCAATTCGACCACCACGTTCCTAGACAAATCGAAGAAGCCGATCTCGGAGGATCTTAACGAATAAGAATCCGTGTATCTAGTCTTTTCGACGAATCGAATTAGAAGGTAATACCTCGTCTAAACACGCCAGTTCCTAAACTTATTTCCGAAACTTGTTTAAAGAAACGTGAATCGAGGGAGAAAGCAAATTCTAATATAGTGTGAATCCATTCGTTGGATTTTATCTTTTATAGAAAGTAATTGAAAGATGGTTGAAATTTGAATGAATTCTACGGAGACTTCACAGCGTTTAGACTATTTATTCGAAACTTATATAGAAAAATATATTTATAAAGATGTCGTTAAGGAATATTCTTTCGCATTTCGAAACATCGTTTCACTCCTTCGACTCGATATTCCCATGAAATTAAACAGAAACAGGCGTCATTCTGCTTTGACTAAAATGTTTAATAATATTTACAGATTTGTTTGTAAGCAGTCTTAATTTATACATAGAAGAGATTTGTTACAGAAGGAATTTTTTTAATTTACTAAGTCAGCACTGTTTTGTTAATATTTTATATTATTTGCCATCTATAATTATACTAAACTGTTAATAGCATCTTGCAAGCTAATTACTTTTACTATACTGACACAAAACAGAGCTCAAATAACAAAGCGCAGATAAATTAATAAATATAAAATTGAGTATAATACAATTATAACTTGTTATGTACAACTAGCTTGTTATTTACTGAAAATATTAACCCTGAGCACTTGGTTATTAGCAAAGATATTTTTGCTGTAATTAGATATCAATTTTAAAACTTTTCAGCTAAAAAGTTTTATGAATTCACTATGTCTCTGTTATCAACTTTAGTGTCTGCTATGTGTACACACCATATGCACTATAGATTTAGTAGAAAAATATTTACTTCAAATTGTTGTGCCAAACTGAATAGTAAGTGTGAGTCACACTATACATTTAGTTAAGAGATATTTATTTCAAATTATTGTATCAAACTGAATGCTGACTATGCGTCGCACTATAAATTTAATTAAAAAATATTTATTTCAAATTATTGTACCAAACTGAATAGTGACTATGCGTCATACTATAGATTTAGTTAAAAAATATTTACTTCAAACTATTGTACCAAACTGAATAGTTAGTATGCGTCACACTATACATTTAGTTAAATAATATTTATTTTAAATTATTGTATCGAACTGAATAGTGAGTATGCGTCACACTATAAATTTAACTAAACAATATTTATTTCAAATAGTAATATAATACTGAATAATGAGTATGAGTCACCTCCCAAGTGCAAAGGGTTAATTTCACTACATATATACATATTACATTTCCACACAAAAAATTATTCTAAACATTTTAAGTGAAAGTAGAATGACTAATATTTACAAGAAGGAGAATATCGATGGAGGACACAATGGTTGGTGAAATTAAAAAAAAAGAACCCTAAAGTATGCGATGGTGCATTCAATATTTTATTTTAAGTTATTTGTATTTAAAAAAAATACAATGCCCTCTCGTACTCTCCCATTCATTCCTTGCTTCATTCATGCCTGACCACTTTCACGTTTCTTCCATTCAATGTTTCTTTTTGTTCCCTTTTTCATTTTATTTCTTTTTCACCCAAGAAACAAACGCGTTCGCGCCGACGGGAAATCGATTTCTCTTTTTTTTTTTAACACTACGACATTCCTCAAACTTCCACGAGCGGACTCCTGTAAAAAAGAAAAATTCGTGAGATGATGTTTCTTGTCGACCAAACGGGGGAACATTTGTATAATATCGAACTGTTTTGAACAGTCTAATTAGAACTGCTGTAGATTTTGAATTATACGGGCAGTATTGCTACCATTGGCGTAAGTAGAATTTTTCTGTTTCAAAAAAATTTAAATATGGGGATTGAGATTTCGGAAATTTGCAGATTTGGGGTTGAGAATTTGGAGACTTGGAAATTTAGAAGATTCAAAATATGAGAACAAATAATATGATGTTGAGATGATGGAAAATTTGGAAATTGAAGATTTGAAAATTTGAAAATTAAAAATTTGGAAATTGAAGATTTGAAAATTTGGAAATTCGAGAGATTGAAAATTTGGAAATTTGGAAATTGAGAAGGTGGAAATTTGAAAAATAAAAAATTTGGGAATTGAGGATTTGAAAATTTTAAAATTCATAAAACTAAAAATTTGAAAATTCAAAAAATAAAAAATTTGAAGATGTGTAAATTAAAAAAATTGAAAATTTGCATTTTGAACAATTACTACATACGCCAATGATTGCCACATTCAAATTTGAAATATAAACTGGGTAAAAATTAAGATTAACTTTATTCCCAAAGTTCATATTTATTTTTTACCCAGTTCCAAGATCAAAAGAGAAAGAAACGATTGTGAGAAATAATTGTATACTGATCGACGTGGTATATTGCAAATTTCTTATCGAATTTTCCGTTCGCTTAATTCTAGAAATTATTTAAAATAATAATAACTTCTCCAAAGAAACCAAAAAAATAACAAACGTAAGTTAAAGTTTGAAAGAAATATTGTATTTGCCAAGTGCCAAAAATCGTGAAAGAGAGAATTTATTATTATAATAAATTGTTAATATAGAAACGTTTATTTCGACTTAATCGTAAGCGCGAGAACTTTATTAAGTATCGAAAATATATTGTAAATATATTATGTATATTATTAACAATCGCTTCTATAAAAAGTTTGGGTGTTGCCCAAAACAGAGTGTACATATCACTAGAGATCTTCATTTCAACGTTTCCGTGATGTTGTCAAAGAGTAACTACTGTATTTTACATGTATTATCAAGATTTATAAAAATGTAATTACACAGAATTATATGTGTATGAGTGTGCACGTATCTTTATCGAGTTCTAAAGAGAAAATTTCTATTAACGGAAGTGTGTCGTAACCAAAAAAAGGGATAATTATGCCCAGAAGTAACGGAGGGAACTCGTTACTCGAGGTACAAATTTCGTCCAAAGATCTAGAAGTGGCAGTTGTTAAAAACTACTAGGTAAAAGACCGAAGAAAATCGTACCTGATATATCGTAAAAGTTTATTTTAAGGATTTTTTACTATAATTAAAACCAACTCGTATTTTATACAGATTCAAATTTAAGATAAATTCATCGATCCAGTGTTGATGATCTAAACATTTGATGTCAGATCAGTGATGGACATTTGCCAAATTTCTAAATTTCCAGAAACCTCCACATTGTTCAAATTCCTAAACTTCCTAAATCCTAGCACCGGTGCCAGTAAGCTCATCAACAGGCACTTAATCTGTCCATCATTGAGATAGATACATCAAGTTAGAAAAATAAAAATACACCAAAAAGTATTAAGCACATTAGTGATCAGTTAATATAATGCCTTAAACAATTTGCTGAACAATATTTATGTACAATATAAAATTTGTAAAATCTTGTTAATTTTTTTAGTAAATTTCATTTCTTTTTTTAAATTAACATTATGTAAGATGTCGAATAGTGGTAAAAAGAGATGCATTAAAAAAGTAGCGATAAGCAAAATGATCTTTGGACCTCGGTAGCACTAACGCTTAATATATTTACTTTACTATGCATCAGGCAACTCGAGAGTGTTTATTAAATAACTTCGTATATACACATTTGTATAGGGGCAAATTAGATAAAAATTGTGAATGGTATTATTCGATGTATCGTCGTTTTAAACTACCATTTAATATACCTACTGACATATAAACACAGTTCTACTAAGGCAATAAGTCTTATTTCGATTTAAATTGAACTAAATTATTCTGCTATGATAAATCTATTCGGCAGAAATTGTTAAATGCTATTATATACTACGTTCAGCTGTCGGTGAAACCACGGTTTCCAGTGAAAGAAATTCGTTAAAATGTTTGTATGGTCACCAAAAAGGAGACTAGTTAGCAGCATAATGTTCAATTATTGTTACTACTTATGCTCGACAAAATAAAATTTGAAAAAAAGAGAAAAAGCATTTGAATAGAATTCGGAAATATATGGTAAAGTGTATACAAAGCAAGGAAATATAATCTTGTACGTGGAATGTTCATACGAAAAGAACTAAAAGCATTCAAACGAAAAGACGGTACTACTTTTGAAATTACGAAATGAATCGGTAATTATATTACAAATTTTATGAGTATGAATGATCTTTTCTTTTCTTTACATTCACTGATAATTTAATATTACATTAACAACTGCGTACTGTTCATATTGTTACCGTGTCCACGTTTATGTAAGACCTAACAATACTTTGTACAAGTTTTATGATACAAATATATTACGACAATTCAGTTTATATACCATACAACATTATACTTTTAGTATTACACCTTTCATTATGAATCTTATTAAGTGATAATAAATGTCGTAATGTCAAATTCAAAAGTTCAAAGTACCGTGTGGTACTGGGAAAAATAGACATCTACACATTTATGCACCTCCATCAACAAACATACTTCACACCTATTCATTTTGAAGGTATTAACCTCGAAGTATCCTCGTGGTTCTGGTACTTTGGTTTTCCATGAGTGAATGGTAAATATCTATATTTGATCATATGCTGGAAATAAATTTATATCAAATTATACTTTGTTGCTTTGATAGCTTCAATGTTATGAGCTAACATAAAAATGATAAATATGAATTACCTTTATCTGACGCTTCATCGTAATGCAAAATAGTGTTATAAAGTACATTACTAGTATGGGCCAAAATACTGGTATATTAAAGCAATCGAACATAGTACATATCATAGCTATAATTGTGGATTTCATCACAGAGTACCAGAATTTAAATTCGGGCAATCTCCTAATAAATGGCCTAAATTCTTCATTGGATCTTGTAGGTAACTCTGGTCCTTCACCATCTGCTAAGAAACTTGGATTTAAGACGTGTTTTGAATATAACATTACAGTATTAAAAATGACAATTTATTACAATAATATTCTACCATTATAAGTTCTATCTTTATGCTATACCCACTACTTCTGTACCCCAGAATACTTTCACAGGTACCTACCATCAAAATCCATTGCAGGATCAATTTTTGGAGTAAGGAATGCTATGAATAAATTCAGATGATAAATTCCTAATGCATATGTGACGATATACCACCCCTATAAACATAACAATATGAACATATATCACTACTTCTTCACCAACAAACAAAGTTATATTCTTTTAAATGAAAAGCAACTTACCTGTGAAAGGAATATACGCAGAATAAAAAGAAACACTAACAATGAAGCGAATGTCCATCTTGACACTACATGGGGGGTCCATAGATCTAAATATCTTTGATATATCTGCAACATGAGAATATTTGATAATGTAAAATAATTTCAAAAAACAACAATCACATTGATTCTTAACACTGAAACTATCAAACTAGTCAACTAGAGAAATAATTTTGATCTACATCAGTATATAAAAAATTGTAATAAATGCTAATAAAAGATATAAAAAATTGTAAAAAAAATTAAGTTTCATGAAAATATACCTGTGATATTCTTCCTAATCCTTGACTAAACACATTTCGTCTTGCAGGACCACCCAGATGCTCATCTTGCATCATTTTACTTCCCTACAAAAATATTTGATTTAAAGTAATGAGTCATGTGATGGAAATAAACATACTAGGTTACTAAGAATAAAATATTACTAATAAATGAAACTGTAATCTGTAAAATATTAATCAAGAAAGTATTAAAAATGAAACTAACACCTTTTTAGACTAATAAATAAAAACTTGTAACTTTTTATTTTATTTATTACAGAGTTGTTATAATTCAACATAAGTTACATTAACATGATGTAATTACAATAAACTACAATTACAACTTTAATTAATCATCTATCACAACATTAATTACATTTGCTGCACACCCTATTAAACATATTTTTATAAATAAATTACACAAAAGAAATGTAATAAGTTGTACAAGTAACAGTAATAAATTCTCTGGATACAAATATATTTGATAGGAACAAATGGAAAACTTGGATGTGTGAAAGTGTTCACCTTAGAACTTCAATTTACTGTTAGACGAGATAAACGAAATAAAACTGATTATTATAACGATTTCAAGGTTGTTTGAATATAAGCTTTCAAAGTAACACTTTAATTAGACCTTTGCACTAATAATGTATGACCGAAATAAAATTTTAGATCCAAATCAATTGTTCAGATTCTTCACATTTTTATAATGTCTGAAATAATAGTGTTCTAAATTAATAGTATCTTTACGAGCTTCTAATAACATCCGATGAATTGAATGATATGCACATAACCTCTTCGTCGCACGATTATCATAAGTATGACGACAAATCCGCGATATTTCTGTAACAATTATAATAAATACAACTTGCCTAAGGTATTTATACGTTTTCAGTCGATCTTCGCGATCAAGTCGCTAATTATTTGGTTAAAAAAAATAACACGTCACAACATTAATGGCATACTATGATCAGATTGTACCATAGAATTTGCAAGGTGCTTCAACTTATCTACTGTATTGTGTCACAAGAGCGAACATCAAATCTGATCCTTATGTAACGAATGATAATAATTCATAATCAATCTCATTGGCGATATGTTTACATTAAAATTTCTGATGGAATCTTTTGGAACACATAATTACAATTGAATTACTTCATCATCGTTTTGAATATATTAATTTTTTAAATATGGATGCTTGTCTTTTCATACATTTATTCAATATCCACATTATGTCTGAATAAATGGACTATTTAATTATTACGCCCATTGTTAGGATTTTCTTTATTTTATAAAAATTAAGAATTTGGGTGCTAACCGGGTGATGAGTTGTACTGATCGGATTTAAGTTGAATTGAATTAATTTGAGTTACATTTCGGCGGAGCTGCTATTAGAGTCTGTGAGATCCAGACAAAAATTTTTATTATTTTCGATGCTATTAGAAATTTGCAAGTTTAAAATTTCGAAAACCTTTACGTTTTTCTATTTAAAAATTAATGAATCTAAAAATTTTTAAATTTGAAAGTTTCACGTTTAAAACAAGTGCCACGTTTACATAATGCTAATATCGATACTTGATTTTCATAAATTTGATTAATTTACATAAAGATCATTATATTATGACTTTTGTTCTGTGTCCCGCAAACTCTAGCAACAGTTCTGCATTTATTAACGAAACAGTTGCATTAATAAGGCTGTCATCGAAAAAACAGTAATCGTATGTTTGAATATTTTAAATCGAAATTCAATTTCTGTTTGAAATTTGAATCCATAACGATATAAAATGTAGGTATCTGTATCGTCCTGAAGAGATATCGAAGAGTAAAATCAAGTGAAAGATCATATTTATTCGAACTAATATATTATCATAATTAATGTTCTATATTTGTAAATAAAATAAAACGTTTATTTATTATATGTGTGTAATAAGCGAGCAAAATTTGAAAAAAAATCGGATGGGCTGTCAGAAAATGATGTCTTTTCGAACGAAAGCACTTACTAAACGTTAAAATTCTTATTTTTAGAATAGAAGACTGTGCAACTGACAAAAGCGCGGCGCCATATTGCATGCTTGTGTTTGGTTACTGTTCTGGCGCGTGGTCGAGAATTGTTGTATTTAATTAACTATCATGTCCGATAATCAGGTAAACTTCTTTATTTTTTCGAAAATTTTGCTGCTCTGTATTTCGCGATATAAATATGGTGTAACATTTCAAATGTTCAATCATACTTTGAGTCTAATCGGTCTAACCTTGCGTATTAGGAACAAAAACCCGAAGCCGGCCCAGGGGACGCGAATTCCGAATACATCAAGCTTAAAGTCGTTGGAAATGTAAGAACTTAGGGTGTTATGTTTTACATTAACATGTTCATTTAGTGACCCTTTATGACCGGCTTCATCGTTTTAATTTTTTTTTAGGACAGCAATGAAATTCACTTTAGGGTAAAGATGACCACTCAAATGGGTAAACTCAAGAAATCATATAGTGATCGTGTGGTTAGTTTTTCTTTCAAAATAAGCATGTATTTAAATAATATAAACGAGTTCTCTTGATCTACTGTTGTAATCTATACATAACTATTCAACAAATCAACATAAATAATTTTTAATATTTATGCTCTAGATAATTGATAATTTATATATATATAGAATGCAAGTAAAAATAAAAAAGTTTTAACTCATATTTCTTATTAAAATTATGGAATATTTTGTATAATCACAGAAGTATATTTTATGATCAGATATATGCTGGAACTTAATAGCTAAGTATCAACAGTAACGTTACAGTTTACATGTATTAAAATTAAAAAGTGTTTTTCAAAGAGTTAGTGTTATTTGCATTTTGTACATATAAAAGGGGAATTATAAATTATTCAATTTTGTTTAGGGTGTACCTATGACATCGCTTAGGTTTCTGTTTGATGGCAAAAGAATTAATGATGATGAAACACCAAAGCAGGTAAATGTTAATTTTAAAATGTTTAACTTAAATCTTCTGGAAGCATAGCAAGAATACATTAAGCTATTGTAAAATAATGTAATCTTTGAAAATATGAATATTATTAATGATAACAAGTTTGTTAATTATTTACTGTTTTCTCTTATGCATAACACAGTGAATTATCTTAGATAAATGTATGATATGAGAATGTCCCACAATGCATAATTTATCTTTTCAGTTGGAAATGGAAAATGATGATGTTATTGAGGTATACCAAGAACAAACAGGTGGTCACTACTGAAGAATTTGGACCTACTATTCAGTTTTAACATCTTTTAAAGTGAAAGTGACTATCATAAACAAATGGACAAGTTTATCGGTATATATATGTATGTTAAAAAAAAATATGTAATAATTTGGTTTTTTTACGTAATATTTTGATGTGCTGTTCTACATTCCTGTAACATGGCAAGTTTAAGGACCATCAGCAGTTAGTTTCATACATTGTATACATTTATCCACTTGAAGCAAAGCAAAAAAAAAATAATGGAAATGAAAATAGAAAAAGGAATTATGCCTTAAAGTCGTGAATTTTGTCCATTAATTATAACTAGCAATGCATTTGCATTCTACACATTTTGAATTACTAGATTTAGATCGCGAGAATTTCAAACAATAAAGTTTTAGGTTCGTTATTAAACAATCGTAAATATTGTATAATGTGAACATGATTTCACAAAATTATTGCGTTTAAGGTACATCTATAATAAAAGAAATAATTGTAATATTTTCCTTTTGCCTTTTTAATGTAACAGTAACACTGATATTTGTAACTTTGAAACTGTACATTTATGATGTCAACAAAATTTGTTTCTTTTTCTGACAAACATGAAATAGTTCAATGTAAGTAATGTGGATGCCTCTAAAAATTATAATAAATTTTAATTACTATAAAGGTATTGCCATATTAGATGTTGTAATAGAAAAATTTACCATTTAATAAGATATATATATTAAAAGACACTACATACAATATTTAAATTTTGTTAAAACTAACAGTTAAGTAAAATATTTTTAAATTTATTGTTTCTTTTAACATGTATAAATTTCGTTTTGATTGTATAAGAGCATCCTCATTACGGAATTTTTATTCAGTGCTTTAGTGAAACAAAATTTTTACAAATTGTAATAAAAGTTATTCTTGTACAGATAATTAATATAGTTTCTGTTTTCATTATTGATACGTAAAAATTGATCGATATTTTTTTTCACTGTTATGTATGTAAACAATATTGGCTTTCAAATAACAATAAGGTTTTAATAAATAATAAAAACAGTTTAAGTAGATACGTTTAGGCGGAGTAAATAGGTATAATAATTATTACTTTAATATTTCCCTTAATGAAATGTAGAACTTGTTGAATGATAAGGCTAATTAAATAATTATAAAATACTAGACTACCCATTTTCATAATAAGGGCAGATGACTTTGATATAAATGAAACTGTAATAATTACTACTAGCTTTATGATCAAATTACCTTTACGTTCATTCAGCTTATCTGATTTCACAATCATGTTTATATCTGTAATAATTATCTAGAAAATAAATAATTGTCTATTGTTCTCTATTTCCTTCAAACAAAACTTACGAGATAATTGAAGATAAAGATAATGTTCACAGATCACAAAGGATACTTTCATTTTATAGAATTGCTTTTATTTATACATCGAACAAAGTTAATAATTACTATTATTACTTACTTTTTAGCACTTTTCAACGCATTATTCGCAAATTTTTTAACATTATAAGCGGACATTCGTAAAAATAATTAACTATGTACAGATTATTTTGAGTTAACTGGTAATCCTAATATGTGGCCTCTTATCATTATTACATATTTACAATGATCTATAACTTGGAAGAAGCAATTTTTTGCCTCGCAGTATCACAAAAAATTTAAATCGTCGATAGAAGGTTGTATTAAAAATTGACGTATCATGCTATGCAATAATAAAGTTTTAAAGAGAAACATTTCATTCGGACAAGAGGTTGCACAATGAAATTGCTTCTTCGAAAACAACAATACAATTGCCACAGTTTAATTTCTTAATTAGCAGTTATACTCTGGTGCAAAAGGAAATCAGCGGTTAGATAAATATTTCGTTTAATAAAATGAGTTTTATAGGTTCATATACACAGCCCATAATATGCATACAGAAAAATAATGCATCAAATATTGTCTGAATTATGAGTTCATTAATATGCGAATAATTTTCTACAGTTTCATGTGAACTGTTGCAAAGAATTCGCGTCATTAAGTTAGAACACAAACACTATTTTTACAAGAAAAAAATTTTACAATAACATTCGTATGGTGTTAATAACAATCTCGCTTATTACTACACTGCTGACTCTGGATTTTTAATAATAAAAACATGTTAATTCAATATATCCAACATAATTTTTATGTCGTTTTCGTTACGACTAAAATATCGCTGTACAAAATTAATTACTCTCCGTTGGAATAACGTCGTTGCCAATTTTAACGTATACGTGGAAATTTTCCCTTCACCTTGTAAATTAAAAATCCATGCATAATCAACCTTTCTCTTTTGCATGTACAATTCAAAACTAGTTCAAACGTGTTACGAGTTGCAATAAATTATATAGAGATTATAGTCGAGCTCAGTTCAATATCAAATTCATTCTGAAACAGAATTCTTATAATAAAGACATCAGTCTTTAATTTTTTTTCTCGTTTACAAGTAATGCTCCGTAGTATTCCCGTTAAAATAGTGAGTCAAATAAAACAGAATATTATATCTCTTAATATTGAATACAAAATAGGGGTCTTAATAATCAACAAAATAATTGTAGCAATAAATTATAGAACATAACGAATCTTCTTCCTATACTCACTTATATTAAAAAGAAGCACACAATAAGCTTAATCCACTTTAACAAAATAAGGAAAATAATTCTACTAATTAAAATGATATCATTTTCAGTGATATAATTTTCTGAGTTACTAATATAATCAATCTTGGATTAAGAAATTTCATCATTTTCGTGTCTGAAGTAGAAATACTACACGCTACATAAGTAGTGTTTTAATTAGGACGTAATATATATATATATATACTTAAATAAAAATGTACAGTGTTTAATTGAAAACATACATTTCTTCGGATATAATCTTTCGAAATATGACTATAAACAATTTTAGTTCAGCTCTCACCTCAGTGTTTTTTTTTTAATACTTTCATTCAATATTATGGTCTACTTACTCATTGTATCATAATAAATATAATTATCCGTAAAGTATTAGAGCAATCTGTTAATTCTTAAAGCGCTGTTATTTCTTGGCGAGGCATTGTATGAGAATAAACCTGTTGAAAGTCTTCGACTTGTTTGAAAATAATTAATTTGTAACGTTGTAAAATGTCACAGTATGTCACGATGCCATACCCATGTTTTTTTCGTATGGTCAAACCTATGTGCTAACCACTGTTGTTCCAATAATTGATATCTATCTTGACTTAGGTATAATGGTTTTCCACGTCTGTAACAGAACATTATAAATTTGAATATTTCTACCAAGCACTGAACTTTTGAAATAATAAGAAGTAAATCAAGTGCGCTGTCATTCGTTGTTCGTGTGCGTTAACCAGAATTCATACTCACTTCAGATCTCTATCTTCTTCTTCAAAATCATCGAGGTAAAGAGATCCCCACAAACAAACCCTCCGACCTCGAATCACAACTATATAAGTTGATGTTACAACTAAGTATATACCGGTTCCACCTCCGCAGTCAATTGAATGCTATAAACAATCAAATTACATTTATATAATAATATCATTTAAAATTATTTTACTCGCACCGAAATGACTCACTTGAACAACTTCACATACATTCATCTGTTTGCAACAGTTTTGTCTTAGACAAACAATGGCACCACATAACAAACAGATACTGATCTCTTGAGGAATCGAGTGACCTTGACGACATTGTCGTTCGTGATAATACTGCAAAGAGAGTGAAATTGGTAAAACCTCAAACACGAAAAAATGTATTTAAGTATAAAATAAATTGTAATTATATGTAATTCGTACCGTAAAAATCTTCTCGTATTCCCTTGGAAGACTAAGTAATTTCGGTACCTGCCATGATATGTGTTGCTCCATTATTAAATTTCTGGCTACATCGCTTCGATTCACGAAAGCTAGAAACTGGTCACACCATAAACGAGGTACCGAAACACTAGCCTCGGAATCTTGCCAGTTCAAAGCTACTGTTGAATTGAAGACGTTCCAATCCATACCCTCCGAAACTAATTCCAAATAATATACTAATCTCACAAATTCAGTCTGTGGTGTCCTAACTAAAGGCAATGGTTCTTCGTACAAATGATAACGGAGCAATGCAGCTATTCGCAGAAACGGTAAGCACATCGACTGTATCTGAAACAATACAAAGAATAAACGTGCAATAATAATATTCTGAAGACAAGTTATTAAGATATTAATTACTTGTATATACCTGTTGCTCAATACTATGCATTTTAATTATCGCATAAAAATTAGACGTCGATGTTGATGGTTGATACATAATGTCATCCGAACGATAGAGTGGACTGTCGTTGAAATGTTCGATTATTCTGTAAAGTATAGTCTCTGAAGACATGGGAGCACGTTCGACATATTCCCTCCTTAAAATTGTATTTCTTTGTGCTTGTGTGAGACCACAACTTATTTGTACTATGACCTGATAGTACAATAAGTTGTAGATTACTTTTACTACACTAGAGAAATACGCTGAAAATGAATTAGATGTTGCATTAAACGTATGAAATCGCTACAGCAGATATTTATGTAAACATTGTAAAAATATGTACTTTGATCCAAATGCAAGGGAAGCAATAATATAAACTGTATAAGAAGTGCAGTTGGATCTCTGAGGAGCAAAGGAACTTCGCGCTCGTGTAAGGTTAATGCAAGTGGAGCTGCAGGTTCAGTAGGTAACCCGGATAATTGCTGCCAAGTATGATGTACTGGCCACATTGCCAATACTCTTGCATGCATCGCCAAGACATGAAGCAGTGCAACTGAAAGGAAAATATTATTAGTGAAGAATTTATTATTCATATTAGCGTCAAATATTATGACAGAACCAATTAATTTACCAATGCAATCGCGTTTTGGTGTCAAAGGTATCGTAGTGGGCGGAGAAATACACAACGATCCACCACGTTGTACGAGTTCGACTTCAAAATTGGTTCGAGCTACAGAAGTTACAAAAAGGAACAAACTTTGGTGACTAGGGGAACAGTTCTTTTGCTTATACTTTAAGTATGTGCAACTCGTCATATCCTCCATGGCTTTGCCCATTGCCATGGTTAAATTCGTTGAGACCTGGAAGAAATATTTCTGTTAAATTTAAGTTGGAATGGAAATTTGAATTAACGACAAAATATAACTGGACTTACTGGATTTCGTTGTATCTCTTTCAGCAAATTGTTTAATTCCAAAAGTATCGTACCAGGAGAGGCGTGACGAGATTGTACAACTGCCGCACATTCTCCTAATTGCGGAGAAAGTGGAAGGAAAGAATTGGCTAACTGTCGGCACAGTGGACACAGGTATTCACCGCTATCTACCGCGAGACTTTGATGCCTTTGTTGATTACGAAGAGATTGTAAATAGGACTTCAAACAATCTAAATGTAAATGGTGTCCACATGTTTGAACGTGAACTCCACCTTCCCAACCTAAATTGACGGATAACAGCCACGAAATCTGTAACGATTCAACATAAAATTATGCAATTCGTTTTGCTGTGATCAGTGAATATCATATATTAAAATATTTACAGTATCGAAATGGCGATTCAGTTCATCCATTCTGCGATCAAAGTAGGCACCACGAGTATCATCCTTTGGTATAGGCGGGTCTTCATCAGAAGTAGGCAAGATTAATCTTTCTGTTTGCTGTCGCTCGTGACCAATAACACTTGTTGCCTGAACCAGTACAACAAGACCCATAGGTTTATCTTCAGTACTAGGACTAGTCTGATTGCAAATAACGCAATCGTATTCCTTTTTGCTAGTCAATTTGGTGGTATTTTCTTCTTGATCCCAATCCATACTAGATACTCCTGCTTCATCTAAAAATAATTTTAGAATTTATTTTGTACTGTACAGCATATACCAAATTTTATTTGCACATACTTAATATTTATATTACCTGTTTTCATTGCTTTTTCCATAAATTGTTTTCGTTTACTGGCAAATTCGGCCATTAATTTTTGCTGCCTTTCTTTTGCCCGCCTTCGTCTCTCTTCCCTTTCTTGATGTTCCCTTTCTCGTTGTTTGTCTTCACACTCTTGCATACGTGGCCATAGTTTGCTTCTAGCTTCATTGATAGCATCTTTACACATTGGATCCAAGTCTGCTATTTTGTTAAGTAACTGCGCGATGAAGAATGGACCGTCACCGATTCTAGATTCTTTTGGTTCTGCAGCTGTACTACTACTAGCTTCGTTATCTGACATTGCACTTTGTTCGGGGTTGTAACTGTCTGGGACACCTGATAATTGTGAATGTAATTTCAGTAATAGCGAAATTATACTCTCGCCCACTTTTACTGTTTGTGGTAGCATCACTCCACCCTAGAAAACAGGAGAATTTATGAAACGAAAAGAGATGGCACGTCAATGCTTATGTACTCCTTGGTGGGCACTTGATTTGCCCATCACTGTTATATATACTCTATGTGATACAAGTAGGTATAATAATGTTACCTGTGTATCTCTTCTTCTATAGTGTTTGTGAGAATTCGATGTAGATGGAACAATTTCTGTCGTTGTCACTCTTGAATTAGTTAATTGTGAATAGACATTTTGAGTAGACACTATTATTTCATTACCAGCCATAACAGCATGTCGTTGAGGCGCAGGTGGTAATGCAGGTTGACCACCGATATCTATACACAATTAACAAACGTTATATTAAAACTCAATCGAATCTACTTTTTTAATACACTACTTAAATGCAAAGAAATGTTTGAGTGATATTGGATTAGTGCTTCTGTTACTGACATCTTCTGGAGCTAATGCTAATCTATGCTATTTTTACAAAGGAAATGTAGTGCGAAATGTTACATTTAATTAAAAAAGATATAAACGACACAAAACATATAACATCGATATAAAGGATATAACTGTGGTTAAGGTATAAAGATTAAGAGTAACATACTGTTTGGTAAAGGAGGTGATTCAAGGGCAAGGGCCATGGATTCTTCGGTGGATGGTGGCAAAGCTCTTTGCAGAGATATTAAATCATCTTCACTATTAGCATCTGATATAGCAACGATTCCATCTTCAGGTACAATAGTCACATGATACTGGTCTATAAAAATAGTTATGAAAAGAAAACAAAACTAATATCACATAATATGCAGTCTTATTATGAATAACGTCGAAACACCTATCTTGAAATCATAAGAATTTGGTCATATTTCAGTTTATGTACAAAGTACAGTAAATTGTCTGCATTATAATCGACGGTGAATTAAACTAAGATACATCAGGACATATACATAAATAAATATAAGAGGATTATTTTCAATAGATTTATATAAACAAAATTGTATTTTGTTTTTAGAAGAAAAAAATGTAACTTTTAATCATTCTTTTTTAATTGATATATCACATAGAATATCACATTGCTTAAATAATATAAAGAATAAAATTATAGAACTCACCATTTGCTTGTGGTAAGGCAGGTAAGGGAGTGCGATGCACGATGATACCATCTAAAGATTCCAAAACTTCTAAAGAAAGTTCGTCTGTTGCATCGTTTAACATGAGTGAAGTTCCAACTTCAGTCATTTCTCCCGGAATTTCCCATTCAATTTCGCCTACAAAATTTAATAGAATTCGTAAAGTTATGAAATATAAAGCAATATACGATAGTAAATTGTTTACTTACTGTCAGAGTTGTTTGACTCTGATTCTTCTACTAAAATAACTTTAGATATCACTGTCCTCAGATTTTCCGACAAATTGTCATTCTTGTACCAACCAGCTAAATCCATATCTTTTATCACGCGCGGTGATTCATCTTTATTGTACTGACATAAAGGATTTAACTAGCAGAAACAATAAGAAGCACAGTTATAGTCAGGAGAAAATATAATAACTTAATTATATAAATATAATATAAATTCCTTACAGATTTATCAGGTATCTCTGCAGTAACAACTGCCATTTCCAGTAAATAAATAGTCAACGCCATTATATGTTCTGATATGTTATGTCCATACACAGCTTTGTACAAAATGATTAAAATCATAGCATGAAAAACTCTAGATCTTAATACAATTCGTGGATCATCATAGGCAGATGAAACAGGAGCTGGATTTCTAAATGGTGGCCATGGTGTTGCACTATTTTTTAGGTTGCCTGATTGTTTTACACTAAAATGTTAAAAAAAATATTTTACAATATGGCTTAAAAAATGTTATAAAAATTATTATTGTTAATCTATAACTAACTATTCGGTAAAACGATCCATTGACATTTGGAAATCTCCTTTTTGTGCTACTCTTAATAAGACATGTAAAGGATCAAATAATTCTTCCCATACACGAGTTCGAGGACCATACATTCCCTGTTGCATATTTCCACTAGCTTCAAGATTAGGTGCTCTGTATACTGCTACCTGTAAATCATATTTCATAATTTTGTAATTGTACAAATAAAATATTACACATTTTGAAGAGTATAAAAAGTGCAAATGAAACATACTTCAGCTAAGACAGATTCAAAATCTCTATTTTGAGTACTGCCACAACGCTCTGGCATTAATTCCATCAACTGACTATGAGTTTTATCACCCATGCATAATAAAGTAACCATTTCTAAGCGGCACATTTCAGGATCAGATAAACCTAAAATGAAATCAAGTTTATAATTGATCTTACATAACTTGACAATAAAGTAACAAGATGAGAAACTTACCTAGGTTTGTTCTAACATTAACCAATATAGCTAAAAATGTTAAAAAACTTTCCAACATAGGTGTTTCATGCTCTGCATTCAAATATTCACTTTGAGATGTTCTGTACAAACAAAGGCTCATTTCTTCTTTTATGTGAAACCTGAATAAACAAAATAGTTATTTTTAAATATAATTCAAAGATGAAGATAGAAGTATTCATATGTTAATATAATGGATAATTACTTCTCAATAATTGCTTTTAGAAAGACATCTGGCTGTAGCTTGGTTGCACATACTTGTAAAAGATAAAGATCTGCATCTACCATAGAATTACAAAAATTGCACTGTATGTATGTCATGATTTGACCCTTTATTTGCAATCCATTGCGCACCCATAATCCATTTAGAATTTCATAGAAGGCGACCTAAACAAGAATTCATTCGAATCATTAAAATTTTTAAATTAAATCATATATCATATTAATAATAACTACTATATTAATGGTCTCATGTGTGCAAATACTGTATGTCCATTTTTTTAAATCTGAAATTTTATATTTAAAAATTCTGAAATAATAATATATGGTTTGGGATCTTTATTAAAAAATACATCGATATTTATTAAATAATATTCAACGCCAGATATATAAAAACATGATCATTCATTTATTATTAAAACAATTTTAAACAGCAGAATAACGAGAATAAAGTATGAAATATTTAAAACCTAAAATATGAAATCATCATTTAAGTGTAAGCGTTTTACGGATGTGTGATACTACCTCCCCCATTTAGTCGGCCAATCCGGTTGCTGAAAGACAGTCGTATACATACTGTACCGTCAGTTCATAGCGACTATACCATCGACGAACAAGGGACAGTTCATTCGGTTTTTAGAACAGTTAACCAACAGTATTACCCCGAGTGACTAATTTTCCAAATATTTCTTCAAAAAATTGAACTCTCTAAAACTCTTTTCCCATTTCGTGACAACGAACAAAGTGTTCGAGAATGTAACGATAAAGAAAGAGAAAACAGAAAGATTAAAATAAGTGCTACATGTGTTCGACTTTGTAAACTTTCCATTTAAGTTTATCGTTCTTAGAATAACATACAATCATCGAAGATGACTGTAATTAGTACGAAACTTATATTTCTTTGTTTGTTGTTCACCATGGATCAATTTACCAATAGTTACGCAAAGATTGGTTATATAGACGTAATGGAATTATTAAAAGTTGGCCACGGAATAGTAACGGATGCTTTTGAATCGTGGGAATTAATACGACCCAAAGATCCTGAATACGATAACACCTTGCCATTTGTACACAGAATGGAAAAAGAATTAAGAAATCGGATATCAAAAGTGTCGCGCGAACTCGATATGTACCAACAGAAACTGGAAATACGTATGGATACAATTATGGCTAAACTTTTGAACGATATACCGTTACGACAAAACCTAGATCAAAGGTTACGCAGAATTGACGAACTCGTTGGCCAAATCGATGATTTGTACGCTACTTTCCAAATGTTCGTCGTAGAACCCAGAAGATACGAGCAATTTACGCTAGAGGATTTCGCGAGTACATGTGTTTCCTCCAGATCAGGCGCCCTACCTGACATGCTGAAAACCCTCCATCGATTATTTATCCCTTATGATGGAATTTCATTTAGCAAAAGCGTTCTTGTGTTGCTGGGGAATCAAATGCAGGTAAGTGACAATGTTAGTCAAAAATGTTTATCGCATGGTTATGTTACAAAATCCTTTCGAATGTTCGATAAATTTTTTTAAGATAAAACTTTTTATATGTCGCATTTGCCGGCGTATGTATCCGGCTTTACGAAGGAATTGTTTTTTAAAAGAAAAATATTAGTACATTTTTGCAAATAATAAAAAGGTGATAAATTCGGTATTCGATAAGTGTTTCTTTAGATATTTTCGAAACATGACTATCTTTTTAGCGCGTAATACCCTATCGTGACAGAGTGGTATTAGGTGCAGGAGAATATTGTAATGATCAAATGACATCCGCATTGGCGTAACTAAGATCTTTACGTAGGGTGCCCCAGCTATCCAAAAAAATTGGGAAGTTTGAAAACTTGAAATTTCAAAATTTATAAGTGGATTCCTAAATTTCGAATATAAGATATTCTTTGTTATGTGGGAAGCGCATGTTCATAGTTTAAAAGATCAGATCTATCCTAATATCGATCTAGTTACGTCAATGAACATTCAACAATCCGCACCTCTTCAGTGCACAAGCACAATGGGAATGTACATAGATGTAGTGATGTAGCAGTAATAAACTTACTGTGCAAATTCCAACGAAATTATAGATAACGAAAATTGTCTTATTTTATTTATTCATATTTAACAATTTTTTGTTGTTTAATGCCGAAACATCCATGATACACGTTTACCTTGTACCCATTTATGTATCTTGTGTGATCTATTCACGTTCGAAAGGATCGTTAACATTTCGTCATATGATAAACCGAACAAAGAACACTTTAAGAAACTGTTTACTAAATTTGTATACAATTTATGCGTTATATATTTGCGAGAAATAATTATCAAAGAATCGTGACAATGTTGCTACATAAAGGATTTTCATTATTGAAAGGTTTGTTATTGAAAAACCCTTAGGGTTGTAATGTTCCTAAATATACATTAATATTTGTTGTTCTTAATAAATCGACCTTTTCTTCTTATATTTAAGACCTGAAAGAAGGAACTGTAATCTTCTTTTGACGTTACAATGCACTTTGTATAAACGGCTTAACAACGAGGAGAGTAAGAATGAAGAGGAGCATGCGCAGATGTGAGAACACCGTTAAAGAACGATTTCAATTCTAGGGTGGGGAGTAACAGAGAGTAAAATGACGGGACACCAATACCAAATGTTCAGTTAAACCTGAACGTAGAATGAAAGTGTTTGTGGTGAAGTTTTCTCTCATCGTGTCGGAAAACGCGTTCAATTAACTCGTTTCAGAAATTAGTCGTAACACATACACATACAATTAAGGCAAGTTTGGATTAACTTGTAACTCAATTTAGAACCGTGATATAATATGTAAGAGAATTTTCTTAGGTTTCAATTTTCGCAAATTGTAATCGAAACGTTTCCACCGGTTATATTAACCTATATACTTTCCACGCTACTTTCCATTTGTCAGCAGTAAATGACCAACGGAAAATAATATTAAAAAAATTAGTGCATAGTTTAAAAATTGTATACTTCTGACGATAACGAAATGATGGTGTCAACTGAATGTACTATATAGAACATTTATAAAGAGATACATCTCTTTATATAGAGATTTATTGTGACAAAGCATTGTTTCAGTTTTTTCTTACATTACTATGCTTGTCACTTGTTCAACACTGATGCACATGTCTCTCATGCGTAAACGTGAAATGATTCGTACGATGGAAACTATTTCGCGAATTTCAGAAGGTTGTCTTGAGAAATTTAATGCTTTGTTTGCAAGAAATTTAAGTATAGAATACCTTTTATTTAACGTCACGTTTGCTTCACTAAATAACAAGTGGACATACAGTTAGGTTTATAGACGGATAACGAATTTTTTATTCAAATAATATTCCACTTTACGTACGAATTATTGAAGGTCATTTAACATCTTTTTATTATTCAAAGAAATCTGTTTAAATATGGCGCGTACTTAATCTCCGGTTTACTCTTAAGTTTTCTTTTTTATGTAAACAAATGTTATTTGCAAAACATTGTTTTTCGTTAGAATTGTTCAGATGACCGGATGTGTTAATAATTACTTACGGATGTGAGTCACGTGTAACTAAAATATGATACGTCGAGAAAAATTATGGTCAATCAAAAATAAATTGAAAATTCCACGATCTGTCTTGCAATCTACGCACAAACATATCATTTCGGTTTGAGCATTAATACATCTAATTTTGAACGTAATCAACACATTCGACCTTTACCACTAAGAAAGATGCATATATAGGGTGTCCCTAAAATCGTGCAGAAATTTGTACAGACATTCAGAACAGAGATGCACTTATCAATAGACCGTCGATATTACTGATACTTGACAATATATTGATAGTATTAAGATTATTAAGATTTAAGGAAATAAGTTAAATCTATTTTTGTTTAAACTTCACGTGTAACTAATATAAGATTCAATGTTACATTACTTATTAATTATTTATAGCTATCGATATTATTAATAATAATTGATCTTGCACCATGATTTTAAAGACACCCTGTATATGAAACTATTAGTATGTGTGCGCGCGCATACAATCTAGATGAGCAAGCATACACATATTCAAAGCTCAACACTGATCTCTATGTTCGTTTTTATTTCTCGAGATTAATCACGTTCAATTCAATTCGAGATAAATCACGTTCAAATTAAAAATCTAATCGTAAACTGAAACTGATACGCATAAATGTGTTTATAAGATATACCACCCTGCAAATATTTCAGATCAACATATTTATGGGAGAGAAACCATTACAATAATGGATCGAATTTAGAGTTCTCTGTGTACTAAAACACGAAGACAAACAGATATAAAAAGACAGACAAAAAAATAGCAAGATGAAGGAAATGAAAATTCTGCCATGCTTCATATTCCTCTTCACGATATGGGAAGCAAACTGTGCATACAAACAGGGCATCACGTTGATCGATCAAATAAGAAGCAAAATGTTGGAACATGAAAAAGTACTGGAAAAAGATTTATTCAATCCACTGTTCGACGTGTTTGTAGAAGACGAAGAAAAGAAGTATCTGCATCTGATAAAAAGTTTCAAAACCTTCGGCGATAAACTGGAACAAAAGTTTCCGCATGACAATTTCGAATATTTGATTCCGTTAAATAACGTTTGGCTATGGGCTCGAACAGAAATCGAACTGAAAGACATTAACGGTCTATATGGTGTTTTTCGACGAATGCAGCATGAAATTATTGATAAAAAAGCGGGTCTTGATCTGGACAAGCTGGCCAGTTTCTCGGAAACTATCCTCCGCGATCCGAACGCGTCCATGTTGCGTGCGCTTACTACTATAGCCGACTTCATAGTGCAAGATAAATTATTTGTTTCTGCCTATCAGGTATAATGTAGCGTTGTAGCGAACATTCTTTGATAATTAATTCAAAATTTGATAATAATTCAGTCTGTTATGGTCTTATTTCATTTTGTATGTTTCGTGTTTGCAGGCAGCAGCTTCTCAAATTTGTAATGAAAATCAGTCGCTTCAACAATTGCTATATAATTTGTACACTACGATAACGCTCTCGGAAATTAGGGGCTACAGTATGGTTCAGTTCTCCTATATACTGTTGAGACTTTATAATCCAGGTATAGCAAATAACAGTTTTTTATTTAAGTTTGATATTATATCCGCCAGAGGGGATTTAAGACTCTAATGGAAAGACTATAAAACTCTTATAAAAGTTATAAAATAGTTATAAAATTCTAAAGCCCCATAGTACAGAGTCCTAAGCAGAGTCCGCAATGATTAAATTACGTGGGGTCCCCTAGTCATAAGCTTTCCAGTAATGTACTACATCCCCTGATGTGCGTTGTCCTAAATAATTATATTGAACTGTAACCTCTTCCCTTTAATTTTATAAATTTGATACAGGTTCTAACTTCACTCAAGAAATGGCAATGGTCAGGCAACAATATGAAACGAGAACATCGGAGACCATAAGGGCCGTGAAAACGGCTATGGCTTTTGCGCCCAAAGATGTTTGGAGATGCGATGTGGCGGAACCTAAATTGGGTACGTTCATATTTTACAACATCATTCCACGAGAAGCATAATTCAAATTAAACGATCGTTACAGATGAAACGTACACTTATCTAAATCGGTTATTCCAAGGATACGTTGTTAACGAGGTAGACCTAAATAGACAGTCGACGTGTAGAGAAAACTGCGCGTATTATTCGTACTCTAAAGTGTATGGATGTTATAAAAATCAATTTTGCCAGTCGCAACGGAAGTGTAATGGCAAAATAGTAAACTGTGAATACATTGATTCGGACATGTGGATTTGTCCATCGGTAGACTGATTTTTTTTTATATTATGAATGGCGTTTGCTGTAAATACTGATAATAATTTTTTGAATGTTTTCAGTCACGTGAAAGTGATAGAAGATACGAGTATATAGAATACGAAAATGGTAATATCTTTGGACAGAAGAAAAGTTGTAGTAATCCAAAAACGAAAGTGGATAGCTGGTGGCGTTGGATATTCTGGCATTGCAGTTATTGCTTTTGTTACTGTGATGATAGTAGCGCGAAATCTGACCGATACTTTAGTTTGCGGGAGGTTCTATCCGATGTAGAGAATAACAAGTAAATACGTCACTGTGACATTTTAGATAAGTTAGCGAAAATCATCAGTTCCATAAATAATAATAATGTGTTATCCGTTGCAGAGTTGTAACGGGCATCCAACTGAAGAAAGTCAATCAGATAATACATTTGCAAATAAAAGAGGGTCAACTGTTGCCTTTTGGAAACATTAATGAAACTAACGTTCAATGGAAACCAGTTGATGCATTTTCAGTACTGGATACTGACGTCAGAAAAGATGTTGATTACCATACCATAATGTGGGAGAAAAGAGGCGTGGATCTAGATGTCTTAGAAAAAGATGACAACTACCTTTTAACAGGTATACTTGTTTAGAGGATTATACTTTCTACATGCTTTGCGGAAACGACAAACAATAACTGTTTTTCAGGTGTCAAATTTAGGACAATTGGTCCACGGTTGAATTTAGAAGCAAGATTTACACCGTTTAATTTCACAACCGGAAAACTGATAGATCCAGTAGGAAGAAGTGTCTGGGTCACTAATGACGTAACCGACAGGTAAGATTTATTCAGTTCTTCTAATTCATGCACTCGTTAATGTGTCATGGTTTCTATGAACGATTTTCATCTGCAGGGAGAAATTAAAATTGGAGAAACCTGATATTCCAACTCGTCAAGCTTTACTGTCATTACCAGACTCAAAGCCAAATCAGTACGTGAATTTTGAACCAAGTGATCGTGCAAGCGATGCAGCACAAAATACGATACCATTCCTCGATATTCAACCAGTAGAACCAAATCCTCCCGTTCCACTAATGGGTGCCGGTATATACCATAAAGGTAGAAAGGGATCAGGAGGATATATAGCGATGAAATTAGTCACATATGATTTCACCCGACATTTACAAGCCGATTTACCTCCCGCACCACCCATTATCAATACTACGAATGAAATACAAGCAGTATAAATATTAACTGTACCCGGGCAATACTATTATAGTTTATAGAATATCTTTTATATATATTGTTTCTATTTTCATGTCTTTCGATTATGTATACTTAGTAATCAATTGTTCGTATCTTATGTACGTACATTTTTTTAAAAATTTGCACTTCTGTTATAATTGATTATTCCAGTGTTTGTGCCATCTTTTACCACCAATGTTTCTGTACTTTTTAAACGATAGTTCATTAAAATTGAAACTTCTGTTTACGCTTTTGTTACAGTTTCTTTAAGTCAAACTTATCGTTTTAAACCCTCAATAATGATACTCATTAATTTATAAGAACTTGAAAGAATAGAATATAAAATAATGTTATCTTTCCTCTAACATACTAGTTGACATTTAGCGAAATATTAATATTTGGGTAATTTTTAATTCTGTGATCTATTATTAATTAAAATAAATAAATATGTATGAAAGTCGAAGTTGATGTGTTAAATATTCCTAATAAATCCAATTCATTGAAAATACCCATTAAAATAGATATCAATCATCCATTGTATCCTTATCTTTTTTCTAAATAGCGGTACATACAGTATTGTGCAAATAAACATAAAAACCGTATTGTATGTATAGTATTATAAAAAAGTGTACTCACCTGAACTCGTAAAGGGTGCATCATTAAGAGATGTAACATATCAGTGGGTGGTAATAAATCATTCAGAACAGCCCCTTGTTGACGTACAGCTTGACACATAAACACAGCGAAGTACCGATGAAGTGGAAGATGAAACGACACTTTTAAACTATCATTCTATAACAAAGTAAAACAAAAATATTATAGTCTTAACGACAGATACACTAAATATGATTGTAGATACATTGTTTTATTATTAAACGAACACGTTTACGCACCACATTTGGATGAGTGAAGTTTATAGCATCTAACCAATCTTGCAATGCTGTGAGGCAAAACGTAAGAACTCTGCGAGTAAGAGTTGCACTTTCGGGTCCACGTAAATGTGAGACTAAAGCCCACATTGGATATGCACTGGCTTCTAACTCGGCACTAAATGCTGCATAGTACGTGTTAGACTCGTACTCAACGTGTTGACTTATTTCTCGTTGATTTACATTCATTCCTAAGATAAATACAATAAACATTTATATATAGAAGATAGTTTTATGGATTATATAAAATAAAGAATACCTTGAAACATGGATAGGAAGTCAAACCACATTTCCAGAAGTGTATCATCACTCATAAACCTAACAGCTATAGGCTTATGTGAAAGAACATTATTTAAATCTGATACAATCGGCCAATAACAATGTTCCTTCATCACTTGCCGTTCACAATCTACTACATAGTGAAAATTTTTATCTGGATCTAAACATAAACAAATAATTACGCATGATTGCAACTAATATATTCCGATATTTTAAAGTGATAAAAATACTTACCATGTAAGGTATTCTGAATTAATATCTTACTCATCATGTACTTTAAAGTAATAACCATAACATGCAACAATTTTAATTGATCCACCATTCTCAATGCTAGACTTTCATTACTAAATAACTGAAATTTTTAATGTAAATACATGTATACGAAGTAGATTTTATTTGTATCATTTAAGATAATGAATCTTGATAATACTTACTTGTACACTGACATGGACTACTTTATTACTTAAAGTATCAGGATCCGGCGAACGTTCAAGCATCATTGAAACTCTACTATAATGTAATACAAATGCACGGGTAAGTGCTTCTTTATAATCTGGATCCGGTAACATATTTAATAGCAAACAAACTAATTTTTGTGGAAATTCATAAGCAACTGTCCAGAACATTAATTCTTCTAAGAAAGTAGTGTGTTCTAAGTTCTCTTGTAATGATGCACATTCTAAAATATAATACAATGAAATGTTCATTTTGTTACTATATTTAATTTATTATAATTATGAGAATATCAATGAAGAATAAATTACCTTTATATTCATCGGGTGGTTCTGGATTTGGTAAAGACTTCATTGCATCTTGATATATTTGATTGCTCTTTTGACAATAGGGATCACATTCTGGCTGTCCACTTGAAACATAAGGATCCATAAGACGTCTATACTTCTGAGGACTTGTAAGTGCAGATGTCATAACATGCCTCATTAATGCACCCATTTTGTTTAGATCAAGAAGCATGCTTAAATACCCATCTGCATCTTGGATAACGAGCCTAAAATCTGTGCCACCTGCTTTACTGTAATGGTAAATAATTCTCATGTGTCATATATTCTTCATCATACATTTATTGTAAAACAAAGAAATATTTAACACACTAGTGTACACGTAAGTGCTGAATAAGTCGAAGAATTATTCTAGGCATCATTGCTTCTGCCACACACATCAGATCTGAAGGAGCAGTTTTGTCTACAGCAGCTTTTGGGCCATGTCTATCACAAAATCTACAAAAATAATTGTATTATATAGTACTTTTAGCCATTAAAATAATTACTACTGCAAGCTGAATAGAATCCTCACCCTATTTCTTTCATAACAGATGCATCACCACAATCGCATGCACCTCCTGCTTGGCTGAGAAACATATTGAAGTCATGGCTATAATGATTGCCCCTTTTAAAGCACTCCGTACATAGAGACATGCACGGTGATATGCCACAAGTACGACAACGGTATGCTACAAAATTGGGAGTCCAAACCAGGCCACAGGTTGTAGCATTATCGTACATTCGTACTGGAATATGTACAAATGTTTATTTCAATAAATAAAATAATTATAATTTTCAAATTATACTCAATTATTCTATTCTTCCCACTGTCAGGAATTCTTTAACAAATTTATTTCAGAAATTTAAACTCTTTATTATAATCCTCTAATGATATTGCTTTAAATGTTAAAACTGTTAACATAGTTGCATTTTCATATCTGTAATACTTCACATGAACATATATTTATTGCATGATCTTACTCATGCCAAATACGCAAATTGCATTCTACTTATCATTAATATTAAAATAATGGTCATATCAAAGTATTTCATTTAAAATCAATACAGTATTACACAATGCCCCTGTATTAATTTTAGTTACTTTCATTATAAGTTTGAAATAATCAAAAACCATGTCACATTTTAATTGATTCAGTTCAATTACATTTATAACAATAGCTATTTATATGTACATTTATACGTATATGTATACATATTATATGTGTATATATATGATACTTGTGAATACAATTTAAGGAAGTAAATAAACCTATCTACTTTATTATGCAACACAAAATATAATGTAATAATAATAAAACATATTAATGCTTATTAAGTTTATAATTGACATAACATCAGCAATATTTGAGAAAAATCCTTCCTATTTTTACATCTAACCCCATAATGCATACATAGAGAATGTTTACTTCTGGATAATCTTATTTAAGACATAACTCAAACGATATAACATAATTCAAAATTGATAATTCTTGTATTATTGGTGTAGAACAAAAATTCTTGTTTATATTCTTTATTGGTAGAGGTCTCAATTGTTCTTTCATATCTTTACAAAATTATAGCGCTTCAAAACACAAACTCTCTTTCCCTGAAATTATGACTTTAAAATTATAGTATTACTGCATTAAATGATCAACATGTCACTTTTTATACCATGGTCAGCAGATTTTATTTTCTATGAATTTCATGGGTACTATAAATGGGTATTTACTTCTTAGAAATTCATGTATGCATTGTCGGGTTAACCCATTAACAGTTTATCCGGAGTAAGACACAGATATAACGATGCAACAGAAGTATTTAATCTATCAGAAATACTGATGTCTATTGTTGCAGGTAACAAGATTATTACAGTTAGTTTTCATTGTTGAGGTCCCTAGTCTATTTTACCTAATATTTAATTAGTTACTGCATAAATTAGAAGTTGTATGCAAGTAGTACTTCACAAAATAATAAAAATATACTGTATTCGAACCGTCACTCACAATTTTATTACAGTGTTAAAGGGTTAATGAGAAGTAAATGTACATAGTAGAAAATTCATCTTCCTGGCATACCTGTATTGGAAAATTCATCCGGCGTACGACCACCAGCCATTAACCACTGACACCAGTCGATAGTTTCCCAGTCATCGATAGCTTTACTAGGATTTAAAAGAACATCCAACAGTTTATTGAGAGGTCGCGGGCAGCCACTGTCAGGGCCTAAATTGCTACATTCTGCATGGATATAAGCAGCTGCATCACGCTTGCCCTTGTTCATCAACGTTCGAACCGAGCTGTTAGAAGTTGAGGCCATCGCGAAAAATCGACCTCGCACAGCGAGGATACCGCTGATTTTAATACGTGTTGTGGTATCCTCTAACAATGTATACTTTAATCAGCGAGAGAACCGTAGTGCCGAACGACGAGTTTTCGTTCATGCTGCGCAGGTCTGCTCTGATCAGGGTTGCCACCTTATCGCAATATAAAACCCGAAGTGTCACACATTCCAACCCGGATATTTGAATGTGTTATTCGAGATAATACTCGTCATCGGACGAGCTTTTGTTCATTCTGCGCATGTTGGCTCTGATTGGTTTGAGCACCGTTTGTAACCAAAAGCAACATGTGTGCACATTTGTAATTTTCGTGACACTACATATGTACCTCATGGTTTTTTACTTTATACATTCATTATATAGGCAAAACCATGGTCGTATGTATAGGTCTTGGATTTAGAAATTTATGGACTTGAACATTTAGAAATTTAAAAGCTCAAAAACTTAGACACTTGGCAATTTGTTCGTGTATTTTTATTAACTGTGTATATAGCCGATGAAATAGAAAGCGTAGTGGGGTAGTGCGAACTAACTGGGGGTGTACTGAAGTTAGCTCTGTTGCGCAAATTGAATATGATCTCTCATCAAACGAATAATAAATGCACAGATGAAAATAATGAAGAAAAAGTTTGTTCTGAAATATTATGAAAGTAATTTTTAAGCACAAGCGACCGAAAACTTAAACATTTTTTGCATTGTACACAGTTTTCGATGTATTTACCTACATGATTCCAAATAAATGCATACTGTATGTAATAATATATAGGATGTCCTAAAAATATTATACAGGCCGGAAACAACAGATTCTTTTCAAGAAAAGAAATTGAAAGTTCTTTTGTCATTTTACAGTCTGTAGAACTGAAAACTGAAATATCAACTTCTGGAAATCAAGTTTAGTGAATAAAATAAACCGTAATTGTGCTTTTAGGTAGCACTGATCGCCGCAGCACTATCGCCGTTGGGTACTAACTAAATTCCTAAATAATTTGTTGGGAGTTTTCATCCCCCAATGAATGCAATTGATTATAACGTTTTTGTTACGTTCGCTGCATAAGATTGTGCAATTTGTTCTCTTTACTTAATAAATATAAATGGTGAATGTAAAGATATATCAATAGCAAATATATCGTTTGTTCATTTCAGTATAACCCAGTCATATATGAGTCCCTAGTCTTTAATCTATTATAAAATTATAATATGTAATTTTAATCTTATATTAAATTTCTTTCCGTTTGAATATATCGATGTCGATTTTATTTGACGTAAAATTATGAAGACTATTTTTTGTGAACATAAAAGTTCTAAAAATTTCTTTTTATGTATTACTAGTGAGTTTGAGTTATTATTATGGTAGCACTGACGAGTTGGTTCTCTTTTCGTTCGGATAATCGAGCGTGTACGTTGCTGTGATAAATAATATTATTAATCGCAGGTAATCTAATATTTTAAAGTTCATCGAATGTAAATATATTATAATTTAGTTAGTATTTGTTATAATTAATCGGTTGACAACCATATTTTATGTTAATAAAGATCTCTAATCTGAAGTGATTGGTTAAGTAGAGCCAGTACAAGTTGTCTCCTACTGTTATTATTTTGTTTATTAGGTTTGCGTTGTATTACTTAAAATTAATTAGTATTTTAATTAAATTATTGTATTAATAATCGCATTGCTTGCATATACACAAAAGTAGAACGAAATGGACTAACATTTCGTGTTTATGATAGGTTATGTTTAAGTGACAACAGCATAAGTGGTCAATGATATACTTTAGTAAACAAATACTTCCGCATTTCTATAAATATTTACTAACTTAAAATTGTTTATTTTCAGTCATGGTGCGTATGAACGTTCTTAGCGATGCTCTTAAATCCATTAACAACGCTGAAAAGCGTGGAAAGAGACAGGTGCTCTTGAGACCCTGCTCAAAAGTAATCATTAAATTTTTAACTGTAATGATGAGGAAAGGTAAGGAACTATACGGATGAAAATATAAGAATTTAAATATGTAACTAAATTTGTATAATTCATATTGTATTTATAACTATTATCAAATTTAGGTTATATTGGAGAATTTGAAATTGTTGATGATCACCGCAGTGGCAAAGTGGTAGTAAATCTTAGTGGAAGGTTAAACAAATGTGGTGTAATTTCACCTAGGTTTGATGTACCAATTAATGACATTGAAAAATGGACCAATAATCTATTGCCATCTCGACAGTTTGGGTATGTATCATTAAATTTATGTCATTCATGTTAAAATGATTGAAATGATGGTGCAATGGAACATTTATATTGTAGATACGTTGTTCTAACCACAAGTGGAGGAATTATGGATCATGAGGAAGCAAGAAGGAAACATCTTGGAGGAAAAATACTTGGATTTTTCTTTTAACTTTTATTTAATAAAATAAATCTTTAATATCAAACTTTCTTTACTTATTACTGATACAAATACTCTCCTACAACCTAATCTTCATTATCCTGCCAACAACAGTAACATTGATATATATAATTTAAAATTTGTTAATTCAATTATTTTACGTCTCTATTTCACGACGTGTAAAAATTCTAGATAAATTTTTAATAGTTACCGATTTAGGAATGAAAATGAGATATAAAAAATAGCAGATAAAAGTACACGATAAAGAATAAAAAAATGCGCATATATTACTTCCCAATTATAAAGAGTACAATTGGAATCAGTATTTAATTAGTTTTTTATAGGATATTTTTTCTTAGAATGCACATACGATATTCCATATCAACGACCGACCGCATACCAAACTATAGAACCTTTCTGATTGGTTGTCGCAGTTTTTCGCTGATTGGCCTAACGTAGCCGGGGACGTTCGAGCATGCGCGTGGTTAGAATTTCAACTTGATGCCTCCTGTGAACGCAGCCGATGACGGTCAGTCAACAAAAGTTTGTAATTCGAACGAAACTCACGGACAGTTCGGAGCATGTGTCGCGTCGTGCAAGTTTTTATTTTTCGTTTGTGTTTCAAAATAAAAGTTTCTCAATTGTGTTTTTCATTTAAATAAAAGAAAGTGTAAAAGAGTTTTGAAGAAATTTAACGGTGTTGCCAGGTGTTACCAGGTGAATGTGACCGTTTTGTGCTGCGTTACCTGGGACTTACCTGAAGGGACAACCTTCCGGAAGAAAGCATTAAAACTTTAATTTTTATTCACAGTGTGTTTGTCTGCAAATAAGTGATTACTATGAATGTAAAAGCAAGTGTTTTGACATTTGGATTTTAATATTTCGAAAACGTACACGTGTTTACGTTTCCAATAATTATCATATTGTGCAAGGTATTCTGACAAAAATCCGTGATTCTATCGTTGTGACGACACTTTTCGACCAAATTTTTATTCGGCAGTGATTATCAAGATTTGTCTATCAAATCGATAAATTTTAATGCATACTACACGCGGATAAATATAGTCGTATAAAAATGAATATCGCAACGATATGTCGTAAGAAAGCGTCGAACGATACGTAACATCGAAGGAAAACAAAGTTGCAGACGCGATGCGATAATTTCGAAAAGAACGAGAAAAGGAAAGAAGACCGAATGTTTGAGAATCGAATGCAAAACATTACGGATGCTTCAGTATCGAAGATTTTTCGAAAGAAGGAGGGACTACGAGTGCAAGTAAAAGGAATGTTGTCTCACAGGTGTACGTCGTAATGCTCTTTCGTTACGACCGTTGAAAGAAAACGTAATCGAGGCTGAATTGACCGCGTGAACTTAACAAAAATGAGGAGAGCATTAAGGAATTGTTGGTATTCGTTCGCGTAACTCAATCGTGCGTTTGTATGACGTTCTCGTAGTGAAGTGCGAAGGAAGTGCAAGTGGCAAGAGAGCGGTACAGCAAGAATTTACCAAGTAAAACATGGAGATGCTGTGGAGAAATGCAGTGGCGGACCTGTCGACCTTCCTGAGCACGAGGACGCGGATTTTATTTGCCGCTGTCTATTTCATTTGGATCGCTGGAAGCGCCTGCGCCACTGGTGAGTTTTCGCGCCCATTTTCATCTTATTCTGACATTTTTGTATTTTGTTTACTTGTGCATTTTATGTCTCCAAACAGGATGCAATATATTTTTATCACTACAACAATAAAAATCTAAAATTTTTATTTTGAAGTTTACAAATTTAGGAATTTAGATATTACTTTATAAATGTATAAATTTACAGATTTTTTGCTGTGTTCAATTTGTCATCAAATTTCATCCACCCCGTTAGAAATTGATATGGTGGTATAGGATTTTTAGGCAATTAGTTCGTGAGCTCAGCGATTACTGTCGTTATTACGCATTGCAAACGGTATTCAGTTTGTCATGAAACTGGCACGAGTACAGGATACACGCTTGACGTTACAATATCCGTGACAAAGATGAACAGTTCGATGTATGTGAATGCGCGACGATAGAGTTGAACGTTTCCTGAAACGGGTCAAGCCTAATTTGTGGCGATTTAAACATCGGGGAACATTGCTGAGTAGAACAAATAATGATTTCTTGGCTCTTGACCAAATTGCTTTTACGTACAACCTTCCACACGCGATTGTGAACTAAACGAATATTTTCCCATAAAGGAAAACTTTCCTAATCTCTATCTTGAACTCAATATTTCATCACGATTACATTAATATCCAAAGTTGTGCATTAATATACGTAATGATGTTAAACAATTTATCTTTTAATTATCAAATTATCTTTCAGATAAAAAATTAGGTCTCCATCCATATGAAGATCGAGTTTAAATGTCCTGGTATCACAAATAGTAATTATAGGGATAATTGCGCGGTTATGTGATTTATTGGTGGAATATCGATAGGTCACCATTACTGCCGTTGTGTACACTGCGCTTCATTATGAATGGTATCAAGGGCAGATTGTACTCGTTACGTTAAGGGGGCTCGCGTTAATGGGCTATAAGTTGCTTTATACTGTACAGCAGCCAAATGACGCTATGAATTTATGCTTTCTTTTCATGAACGCACATTCCTCTCAAATTAATAAATAATAATTTCAAGTCATTAATTAGATATTTGCAAATAAAAATGAATAAATTGCTCTAAATTTTTGACTGTCTTATTACCTTATTATTTTACATTAGATCATCATGCGTGATGTAGTAACGCGTTGCGACGCCAAGCGTTGTAGTATCATACCGCGTACTAACATCGTCACCTACTATATCGCCACGCGTTATATTGCCGATTCATACAAATTCAAGTGCAAACGATTAGATTAGCAAGTGTGTTAAAAAGTGTGCATCTTATTAATTTCAGCAAAGTGATGGACATATCGCCAAACATATTAATTATAATTAAAAGTATACATTAAATCGACACGGAATATCAGTGAATTAATTAGGGCGTGAAGACTTCGTACATGGATGTACGTACGACTGAAATGGATAGATATTTGCAACGGCAGTGAATGGAATCACGGATGATTTGTTTCAAATATGTATGCTGATCTGGTGATGAATGCAATCGGGACACCTGCAACGACTCACAGGAAGATTAGTCGCCACACTCTGAGCGATCGGGAAGGGCAGAAATCTACAAAAAATCACTCCCCTTTTCCAACATGAGGGAACGTAGGAGCCAGACTAATTGTGATTTATTACGACGTTAATCCGTCCAATTGTGTGAATGAAGTTAAACCGTTGACCTCTTGGATGACGATTGGAAAGGATACGTAGCACGTGCCGCGGTATCATGTTAAATAATACCGCCGCTGTATTATCATAGAAAAATCTGCTCCAATTTCTCCGATTTAATGACCTTCAAATGTCGAAAGCGTGAATTTTTTATTCGTTCTCGAATCACAAACATTCAATAAGTGTGCGATGTGTACTTGTTTTAGAGAACTGGAAGATCGAATATCTCAAATAATGCCGCGAACATAAGAAGTATATAACAGTAATAAGAGTAGTAACAAACAATGAATTTATTAACAGTATCGAATGGTTGAAGAACACGCAACAAAGAATACTCAACAGTAAAGAATGCAAGTAGCACGAGTCTTATCGTTTTGGGCAGAAAGACTAAAATTTCAAATTGAAATTAACTCCCAAGTTCGTGTCCCAGTACCAATAAATTTCCAAGATATCTGGTTAATCTTTACACATAGTAAGAAAAGTGGAAAGAACTTAAACTTGTGCGATTGTTTGTACGTCTCTGCTCCAATTGCCCAAATCCGTTATTCCTATCTCTTCTTATCTGTAGGATGGTATATCAATGGGTCACGTTGTCCAAGGAAAATTTAATCAATGACCGATTGTCCTCGTTACCGAACCGCGCGTCGTTCAGACGAAAGCTTCGCGTCTAATTAATCACGTTATTAATTGTATCCCCGTGTCAAAAAACGGGACTGAATTTCACCGTCGCTCCCCCATGCTTTTTTCAAACAAAGCTCATTATTTTATCCGTTTCAATGAATCGAATATCGTTTTTGACGAGGCTGACGAGATTACTATTTTAGTCCTTCGGTGCCCTCTGACTCACAGATTTAATTGCTTTTGTGCTATTCGTTTTGATTTGTGCGAACCATATGCACTGTGCTGCGACAATGCGACAGGGTCGCGTGCATTTAATTCAACGGTACGCGTGATTAAGATGGCACGCGGATGCACAAGCTTTAATACTAATTATCGATGGTACAGTCGAGACCAAATCTACTTTTCACCAAGAAAACTTGGTATCCAACGGGAAAAAGTAATTACGGGAATTTACGTCTATGGCGGTTTAAGTATTGATATTTATTTATGGATCTAGGGATTTCAGTCTAGGAAATTGAAGATATATGGACCTAGAGAATTTAGGGCATGGGGACTTCGAAACCTAGGGATATTGGAGTCTAGGGTATTTTGATCTTGGACCTTAGATATTTCAGAACATAGGGATTTCATGATCTAGGAATCTAGGGATTTCGAATCTGGGGATTCTAAAATCTAGGGTTTTTTGAAGCTAGGCATTTCGAATCTGGGGATTTTTGAAGCTAGGGATTATCGAATCCGGGGATTCTCAAATCTAGGGATTTTTGAATCTGGGGATTTTTGAATCTGGGGATTTTTCAAATCTGGGGATTTTTGAAGCTAGGGATTTTCGAATCCGGGGATTCTCAAATCTAGGGATTTTTGAATCTGGGGATTTTTCAAATCTGGGGATTTTTTAATCTAGGGATTTTCGAATCGGGGGATTTTTGAAGCTAGGGATTTTCGAATCCGGGGATTTTCAAATCCAGGGATTTTTGAATCTGGAGATTTTTCAAATCTAGTGATTTTCGAATCTGGGGATTTTCAAATTTAGCGATTTTCGAGTCTAGGGATTTTAGGATGTAAATATATCTGGATCTAGGGATTTGGTGATCTAGTGATTTTGTTGTATATCAATTTCGGGATTTAAAGACTATGCGATCTAGTGACTTTGAGATCTTGGAATCTGATGTAGTGGTGTTAGGGATCTATGGATCTAGTCATTTTCAAAGTTGGGGATTCAAGATCTAGAAATTCGACACCCGGTATTTTGGGTGCTCGGATGTTGAAGAGATTTTAGTATGTAAACATCTAGGGTTTTTAGGAATTCGAAACTCGAAGAATTGGAAACTGCAGAAGTTAGCAATTTTCAAGCCTACATTTATGTCCTTGTCGACAGGAAGCTATGTTGTACCGGAGTGTACAGCATTAGTAGAAACCTTTGTATGTACATTGTACATCGAGAACGTGTACGTAGAACACGCACAGCGAATCCGTAAGTGATTTGAGTGCCTTCGCGTTACTCATTCCTTGGTAATAATAGTTTCTGAGTTAATCGACAGGAATGCGGGGAAATACCCAATAAATATCTAGTCGCTAGATCTTTTTAATGAGCATTCTAATTCGTACATACATTCGACATTAAGGGAATAGGATGTAACTAGATTTCAATAGCGACTCTCTTGGCTAAGAGATCTTCTGTTAGGAAAGAATCCCTCGTGATCTGTAAATTAAACTCTGTAATTATATCTTGGTATCTTTGAAATTCAAACGAGAATCTTCGGCATTGTTTGGAAAGGAACGTTATTACTTTTCCCTGAATAGAGAACGTTGAAACAATGCTGTTACTGAAGCTTTTTAATACCCCTGACGAAAACAGACTCTCCATGTTCCTCTGTTCTGTGTTTTTTCGTACATTTCAGAGATTGTTACACGTTGCCCGGTTGGACATAAAACTTTCTTTTTCCCCCGGATCATTCGCCAATTTACCTTTACACCAGACTGCACTCATATGCCCTTTACCCGGCTACATTATGTCGACCATCGACCTGGAAACACGAGAACGCTTGTCTTCCTGCGACACTAATACGAAATGCATGCCAATTTCTCGTAATGCAGTATTTCTACAGCCGAGAAATCTGACTCGCGACAAACTGTACAGGGTGTCTCACGCAAATGGGTCAAGTTATAGCTTTAAATTCGTCGAAGGTAGACAATACCGTTCGTTAAGGCAGATTAAATATCAAATGCAATACTTTAAAACTACGATCTGTTCAATTACCATACGCGTTACACATTTAGAAACTTAAACCTATAGCTCCTAACCAAAGTGTTACGAAGTTAAAAGTTTCACTTTACCGAAAATTTATTTAGCAATTAAAAGCACCACGGTGGTCGTCGATGATTAGCATTTTTAGATAGCTTATCGAGTAATCTACATATTCCAGCCTGAAAACGCTCGTTTCATGAGGCAACGCTTTGTAACGACTTCCTGCTTTCGCAATGCAAACTATTCATCCACCCGCGATAAAATGATAGCAAGGAGCGTGTCATCCTTGGACAAAGAGATAATGAACCCTTTGGGGACGAATAGTTTGCTCCAACCAAAACAGTTCAGTTATCGTTACGAAACAGGGTTATTAATCTGAAAATATTAAACATTAATTCATCAAGTAATATAGTGGTACATTTCATACAGCTTTCATGCGCAGAAATGTATATTCATCATTACTTCTGAGGAG